AAAAAAACACTGGGAAAGTGTAATGTTTACCCTTTGAAATGATGATTGGACTGACATGATACAAGTTGTAATGTGTCTTTACTACTTTTAAAACACGCTAATGAAATAAATACAGTAAAAAAAAGACTGTTTATATGCTCAGTAAATGTACTCAGCCTTTTGGTGGATATTTGCATGTCTGTATGACCTGATTCAGTTTCATTGGATTTTGTGGATAATCTGTATTTTCAATTTTCACTTTGTCAGTATTAGAAATGACCACACTTTCCCCCCTCATGCCATTAATGGATTTATTCACTTTCTTGGTATATTGTCACTTTTCTAGTAATAATTACAAGCTACAGTATGGTATGTGTGAAAAATAAATGCATCTTAACTGACATGTTTATATGTATAATACAATCATGATCTGTTGGTAAGAATCATAGTTTATTTGTTTTTTCCTGCCTCACATGTTTGATGATGATCCATCAGGAGCCTACAGAGTAGACTCATGACATCACCTTGTGTGAAAGTCACTACTGCCACTCCCCATGCGATGAGCAACTGATCCAGTCTCTACCTTACATGACAACTTGCCCTGTCCACCCGCCTCCTTTCTCATCATATAGCATACAAGAGACTAGCTGACGGTCCAAGAAACTTGCAGTTTGTTATATGTATGTTACCTATTTATTAGCTCTTAGAAATGTCACCAAATGCTTATAATTGCATGTTTTTCTTTACCTTAATCAAATGCAAATTATTACGTTTATTTAACTAAGTTAGTTCCTTACGAGCCCTCAGAATGGGTTTGGGGATCTTTGAAACCGTATGTCACTAATACTGTATATTTCCTGATTGCAACTAGTCTAATCTGCGTTGACGGAGGTCACCTCTAACATTCTTTGGCATGCGGGACAGTACAGGTCAAACAATATGTCAATGTAAAGTATGTTTCACCATCAACCTTTCTCAGCACTCATTTCAAGTTACAAAGAAAGCACACATCTCCACCAGTGGACAGTGGTCAACAAGTGGACACAACATACTGAGATGGTACACTGTGTAGCTCAAAAAGCAGTATTGTGTCTCTTGTTGGGAGTTTTGTGTTTTTGGGTCATTGACAATTTGTCAGTGTTCAGCACAAGCAATCAGTTTGTTCAGTGCCTTCCTGAGTTGAACCTGTTGAGAAGCTGTTGTATGGTGTTTTTTAGTCCTGGGTATTGGTGGTTTATCCTGTTCTCATATACAGTTTACGACCATGAGATTTTATTGTTACCTTTTCACGTGAGTAGGGTTTGTGTTTAGCAACCTAAAACACAAGGCTTAATTGTTTCCATATTGCAGATTTTGATTGCACCTAAATGAAAGGAATGACACGTGAACATCACTGAAATCTCTGGTGAGTTTCAGTCATGGTGGTAGCTGAGTGAATTGCAGAGCCTCAGGATGGAGCATTGGCCAAGATTTTGATATGATGCTCACACTGGGAAAGAAGATGGTGGTGTTTGGATTGTGCATGTTTATGCTTTATTGGCTCATTAGTTAGCAGGGTAGGTGTGGTGTCTGTTGTTTTAGGACATTACACACATTTCTTCTGTCAAAGGTCATGAAGTAATGTTGCCATCTAGTGCTGGGCACCATTTTGAAAAACAGGTACATATATGGTATTGACTTAAAGGTTCAGTGTGTAAAATGTAGTGACATCTAGTGGTGAAGTTGCATGTTGCAGCTGAATACCCCTCACCTCACCCTCCCCTTCCAAACATGAAAGAGAACCTGTGGTAGCTTCAGTTTTCATGAAAACTCAAAAGGTTTTAGTCTGTCCAGTTTGAAAAACATGGTGGCCTCCACAGAGAGGACCCACTCAGTGTAAATATAAAGTTTTTAAATATAAAATGGGCCATTTTATGGTAAAAAAACAACAATTCATACAATTTAGATAAAACACCACTGTGAAAACATTGCTATAATTATTTTATATTTAATTTCTGCCAAAAATCCTTTTCACCTAAATCTTACACACTGAACCTTTAAGGGAAATACGTGGTTGTGATTCTTGTATTGCTCCTGCTCAGTGAAACCTCAGTGTAGCTCTTATTATTATCTAAGATTACACCGACTAAGTAATGTAAAAGAAATACAGATACTACAGGCATGGGCACCTCCACATATCAATATAATTTTAGGTTCACCCTACAAAATGAATACTGTTTGTTTCATACAAAGTTTATGAGGTGGGAGTGATGTTAGAGCAAGTGACACCTCATTCTTCTGATATGCACATACCATGAAACAGAGACACAACTCAAAGTCAGTAGAAACACACTTGAATTAGGACATATGTGTGAAATAATCTGTAACTCATTATGTGTAGTCAATGTAAGAGCAAACAATATCGATGTGTGTGCATGCTTACAGGACAATAAGTACCAATGTTTTCTGCCCACCAGTATGGTACCAGTTAGAGGCTATAATGTGCAAGTGTGAGTGTCAGAAAGTTTGTGGCTGACTATTAATTTTATGCCCCCAGTCTCCTGTGCTAAAGACCCAGACAATCACCATCTCAGATGTCACCAACTCCCTGAGAGGAACCGTGACCTACAAGGACGTCCCCTTAGTTCACACTGAGACCAAGACCATTACATATGAGTCAGCACAGGTGAGGGGAATTCTGGGAATTGCACAGAAAACAACATTTCACAAAGTGTCTCCAGGCTCTGAATCTTTACTGCAGAGAACTTTTCTGGCCATAGATATTAACCCTTGTCTCACCTCTGCCTATCTGTTTAAATCAGGCTAAGATTAGGCCATTCTCTTGGCTATAGGACAGTAAATCATCTTATTTAACAAACCTGTGGCTCCTTTCAGTTTTTGAAACAGTCATATATTATGTCCAAAGATTAACTAGAGGGCCCAGAGGCAAAAATAAACAGTAGTTGTGTGCCTAAGATTTCAGGGATCTGACTGTTTAATGCTTTACAGACGTGAGTATGTGATTTGTGATATAATGGGCTATATAAATAAAATGGACATGACTTGACATGACAACATTTACTAGTAAAGCTCTTCTGATCGTCACAGTATTAACAAACCATATATTATATCATCAGAAACACAATATCACACACTGGGCAGCTGTGGCTCATGCAGTAGAGCAGGTCATCCCATTATAGGAGTGGGCAGTTCAATATCAAGTCCTCCTGTCCATATGTCTAAGTGTGCTTGGTCAGGATTCTTAATTCCAATTGCTTCCAACGGTCAGACCAGCATGTTGTATGCTGGGTTGCTGTCATCAGTGTGAATGGGTAAATTTTACAATTACACTTTACACTTAACCTGGAACCTTTTGGTAGGTTGAGATACTGAGGCTGCAATGCAGGTGCCCCTTTCACTCAGTTAATAAACCAGCCGCTATTATTTCTATTTCCATTTCACTTTTCAATTCAAATACAATTTCTATTACCATAACCACTACTTGATTATTTTGAGAAGTATGTAGTATATAGTTTTTGAATTTACAACAAAATCAACATTAAAGTTATTTGAATAATGCAACCTATAATTATAAAACTGTCAAATTAAAGAATAAGAAAAGAAGAATTTTGATTACACATGTGATGCCATCTAAGACCATCTAAGTTCAGTTGGTAAATAAAGTCCTTAGGAGGTGAAGTCCTGAGGTTCAACACTCAACACAATTACAGAAATTACACATTCAGATAATAAATAAGAGATAATTGAGTGTGTTTAAAATGTATTAATTTTAATTTAATTCTTGTCTAACACTTAAAAGGTGTCTCTCCCACAGCCGGTGGACAGCCTGGCAGAGAGGGACTCAGGGGTGCTGCTGAGTGCCCAAACCATCACCTCCGAGACCATCAGCACCACCACCACCACCCAGATCACAAAGGTCTGCTCACATCACTAACAGACCTGCAGAAACTCAATACAGTAATTTACTACTATGCTGTGATGCATATCTACTTTCAGTCACTTGTGCCAGTGGTATTGACCCGATGTTTGAGTACCTGCTTGAGGCTATCTGGAGACTATACAGCCTTGTCATCAGCCTCCCCAGAATAAGAAATACCATTCAGTTTTAAAAAATCATGTGGCTAAAGTGATGTGGATTGCTTATTATTTATATCATATTAAGAAAACGTCAGTGAGGTGCTAATGGTAAATGGTCTGTATTTATACAGGGCTTTTTTAGTCTTGACCACTCAAAGCTCTCTACAGTATAGTTTATTGCCATTCACCCGTTCATCTCTGGGCAGTACTGGGTACTTTGAGTATTTATTAGTCACCTCCTGAGATTACCCATGCACATCATTTTCTGAGGTTTTTCTCAGAATGACGCCAAAAACATAATTCACCCAGTGAGTGAGATGTCTGCAAATTGAAATGCCTTGTTTATGAGAAAGGCCAGAGGAGAATGGCCAAAGAACGACAGCAGTAGTTACAAACTCGCCAACACTGGTCAGTTGAAGCCTGAAAAATGCAGCCTGGTCTGATGAATTTGGATTTGTGCTGTGGCTGGAAATGGTAGGCTCACTTAACATTTGACATGCAGCTGACAAATCTGCAGAAATTATGTGCCATCATGTCAACATGGAGCAGAATCCCAAAGGGAAATGTCAAACATTCGGTGGCATTGATTTCATGAAAAAACAGAGGCTATTTGAGAGCAAAGGGAGGAACTTCCTAGTATTAGTGTGCTGTTCCTAATAAAGTGTCCAGTGAGTGCATTTTAGTTTCAGTGTACATCCTTTCTGCTTATATCATAGTATGAAGATGCTCCAGTCTCCAGTACTTACATAAGAATGATTATGTTTTTTTCAATATCAAGTATTCCAGTATTCAAATAATTCACAACAACAGTTGTCTGTGTATATCCATGGATACATTGCAAACAGGAACAGCAACCTTGGTTAATAAGATGTTGCCAAATATCCAGAAATTGTGGTCCTCAGCTGAATCTATACAGCATCCTTATACTCACTGTTTACATCCTCTACAGCAAGGGGTCTAGTGGATTTAAAGAATACTAAACAAGAATATTTCAAGGATTCTAGCATAACCCATCTTCGGCACAAGACTGCTGATGTTTCCAGTTGAAATTGGCATAGCCATTCTAGTGATTTGTTCTCATTTAAATGCATGTACACTGTCAAATGTTTCTGAAAGATTCTTGCATGCATCCATGTTGCCATGGAACATTTTCCAAAACTGTGCCTGCATCCATCTTCTTCCTCTCAGGGACACCACATGCTTCTTAAGAGGGCCATCAGTTCTCAGTTTTGTCATATTACAGCTTGTATCATGTTTTTGTTGTAGACGGTGAAAGGCGGGATCTCTGAGACTCGCATTGAGAAGAGAATCGTCATCACTGGAGACACTGAAATAGATCATGACAAGGTGAGCAATGTAAAAGATGAAGGAGAAGTAGTGATCCATGTTTTTTTTTTTTACTGCTCCCACTAAATGGTGCAAAATAATGTTGTTTTTCCTTAAAGCTCTACTAAGCAAGTGCTCTAATTGTGTGTTTGGCTCAAATATTTGCTTGGAATGTTTCTGCACATGATAGAAGAGGATGGAATTATTTGTAGGCCTAATTTGCCTCATAGAGTAATTGTGTTCATGTATCAAGTGAATCGGTTTTGTACGCAAGCCACTTTAAATAAACCCGTAAATTGTGTTCTCCTTAACAAACCTGGATTGTTATTCTTTGTTCACTCCTCAGGCTTTGGCTCAGGCCATTAAAGAGGCAAAAGAGCAGCACCCAGATATGTCTGTTACCAAAGTGGTTGTGCACCAGGAAACAGAGATCACCCCAGAGTAACATAGACTGATCCTTTGGAAGGTGAGTGCCTACCCTGAACCCATCTTCAGCCATCATCATTCTGACTGCTCTTATATGAAACCCTGCCACAGTGATGCTGCTGTTCCTGTAGATCAGGGGCATTCAAATAAAAAGTTCTGAGAGGTCCAGATACAGAAAGTCAAAGCTCTAGCTCTAGCTCAACCCAAAAAAATAGCATTATGATTCAGTTTAATATATATTGAAATATTAGTTGTATCAACGTCTGTGTGTAGTCAACAACCGACTGTCAAATCAAA